CTAGTTCACAAATTAATAAATATTGTCTAACTCGTCTGCTAATGTACCAAGTGTTACTTGTTATAGCTGCTATCTGTTTTGTTTTGTTGTTTTTTGCAACTGTTACTTGGAAGTAGATATGATATGCAAGCATACCATATTTTATATCTGCTTTGGTTATATAGGATTTTTTATAAATTTTCGCTCATTTAAGTTTCATCTTGTGATAGGGGCAACAGGTTGTCCAGAAAGGCGTTCAGACTGCCTTGTTCTCGTTGCTTTGTTCTTTGTACTAAATAATGTTTATTCTGCCATAGAGGATATTACAGTAACAAGCATTCGAGTTTAAATATCCTTAGTTAACCGAATTCACGTTGTCGAAATAATACAGCCGAACATTGCTGTGAAAGAAAAAAAAACGCCATGAGGTTACGCTGTCAACTGGACAAAGAAAGTAAGAAAATGTAACAACTATAATAAAAGATACACCCAATACAAATATAGAACAGGTAAAACAAAATAATAAACAACAACCAACAGCCACCATAAATAAACAAGAATCCACACCCATTATTTCAGCTATTATAAACATTATAATAAACTTCGTTTAGTTCAGGTAAAACAAAATAATAAACAACAACCAACAGCCACCACAAATAAACAAGAATCCACACCCATTATTTCAGCTATTACAAACATGATAATAAACTTCGTGGATGGAATTCAAAAACCAAACAATGGCACAAGCTACTTAGCCATATTCATTACATTAGCAACAAAACACATAATATCAATACTTCCGCAAATATTACAGATATTCATGGCCAACACCAACACGTAAATTCACCGTCTTCCATGTGAATATCCAAGGTGGTCTTGCTTCCAAGAGACACGAGATCGAAGAACAAATTAGATTGGTAGATGCTGATATTATATGCATCACTGAGACCCTTATCACAAGCATACAGTATTTAAAATTAAGTGGCTATACCACGATAACAGCTGATAGAAAACATAAATGAGACACGAATCGTAGTATAGCTCTAATCTATAAATCAACATTGACAATCACCAGCATAAATTTCGAAAGGACAAATGAGTGTATAGTCGTTGACGTAACAGTTATAAGCAACCTCAAAATTACAATTGCAGGAATCTACAGTTCACCCAATAGAAACCAGGACACAAAATTGTTAGATAACATAACAAATTACAACAAAAACTACATTGTGATAAGGGATCTCAATTCAAAACATACAAATTTTGGATGTAGATGGACAACATCAAATGGATCCCGATTACTACGATTCTTAAACAATTCAAACTCTGTACTTTTAAACTACCAAACACCAACTCATTGGTGTACAGCTACAAATTCTGGAGAAATACGCGATTTATTTATAACTTCTATAGATGCAAGTCTAAAATGTTCAGAATTTCACCTAGGACAAGACAGACAGTGACAACTTTCCTATATGGTGTAACTTCGATCTCGCCCCCCCCCACCCACCACCACCATAACAAGTCAATATCTCAGCAAAAACTCAGTTATAATAAAGCAGATTTGCAGCAATATAAAACCAAATTGGATGAATTCCTATCAAATTCAACCATAACAAGTGCCTCGCGCCCGCAAGACATAGATGAATACTGTCAAGTAATAACTGAATGTATAACCAAAGCAGCAGAAACAACTTTACCAAAACAACAAAATCTTACAGCAGTACACACATGGAAACCACATTGGAACATAATATACATGATTAAAGAAAGACGCAGACTACACAGATTATATATCAACATGAGAAATATAACACGGAAACAACAATTTTGTTGTTGTTTTTTGAATTTTGCACAAAGCTACACGAGGGCTATCTGCGCTAGCCGTCCCTAATCTAGCAGTGTAAGACTAGAGGGAAGGCAGCTAGTCATCACCACCCTCCGCCAACTCTTGGGCTACTCTTTTATCAACGAATAGTGGGATTGACCGTCACATTATAACGCCCCCACGGCTGAAAGAGCGAGCATCTTTGGTGCGACGGGGATTCGAACCCTCGATCCTCAGATTGCGAGTCGAGCGCCTTAACCACCTGGCTATGCCGGGCCCGGAAACAACAAATAAATTCTCTTCGTAATAAAATCGGAAATGAAATTAAACTACTAAAACAAGAAAACGGGAACACTTTTTGCAATTGTTTGTTTGTAATTAAGCACAAAGCTCCACAATGGGCTATATGTGTTCTGCCCACCACGGTATCGAGACCCGAATTCTAGCGTCTTAAGTCCGCAGACATAACGCTGTGCCACTGAGGGGCACTTATTGCAATGCCCTAAGCATAGAACAAAATCCACGAAAAATTCTGGAATCACCTAAAGAGATACGCACAAAACCATCCAAATCCTACCCAACACTAGTTCAAGATAAGAAACAGCAACAAGCAAAAAGCCGAACTATTTAAAAAAATACTTACAAAAATTTCAAACACAAAATAACTCGAACATGAATGATTATTAACGTAACCAATTAGAAAACAAAATTAAACGAAACAAAGATATTTTTACACCAATCTTTCTGACTTCACTCCCAACACAAACAACCAAAGAAGCAACAACTAACACCCTGGATGAATACATCACAAGTGAAATAACAACGACATAAATCTACATAGCTATAAAACACACTAAAAGCAAGGCTCCAGGAGCAGACAACATACAAGCGATACCACTCAAAAACGGAACTCAGTTATTACTTGGACAACTCAAGGTACTTTTCAGCCTTTCCCTGAAAGCAGGGTACATCCCCGTCTCTTGGAAGGGAATGTTTTCGTGTTTTTAAAGGAAGGGAACCAGCAAATAAGCTACAGACCAATCAGCCTGGCCAGCTGCGTAGGAAAATATTAAAAAGAATAATTAGTGAAAAACTAAATAATTAC